CAGGTTCAGCAGTGACCAGTTTGCAATCTTCTAGTTCATTTGTCCGACGTGTCCTATGTATAGCTTTTTTCGTTTCTTGTATGTATCATACTTAAGAATATCGTTAACATCGTTTCATTTTAAGCTTCAATGTTATGAAATTGTTAGTTGTGCGAAAGCCAGTTACTAGTAGTCAAGTTTCGTTAGTAAGAACTTATATGGAATAGATAATACAAAAACGTAACAAATACATAACAAATCGGTGTCAACAGACGTCAACAAACCAACGTCAAACGAAATAAAAATCTAGTAAACAACCGAACGTCAAACCAAACGGAACAAAAAACTTGCTAGCCAACAACCGAACGTCAAACCAAACGGAACAAAAAACTTGCTAGTCAACAGTCGAACTTCAACATGGAACAAATGAGAAAAAAATGAAAGTAATCCTGTTATGTTAATCCTGCAAAGTCAGCAAATGTTGCGCACAGTCTCGTAAAGAGGATGAACCTGAAAAACATATCACGGAAATAATTAAAATATTCATACAACATATATATTTTTTACGTCTCCAGCCGTCGCACCTTGTTAAATTTTCTAATGCTTTAGCCCTAGTCCTACCAAATGGATGCGAAGAACGAAATTAAGCTAAGGCACCTTTTTTCCAAATACTATGCAGCACATTGTTAGCCAAAAATTGTTACAAATTCATGTAACCAACGACCTTTATGGACCGGCAATGGTATACACTATACAGGGTACACAACAAAATACATGTAATAGAAATTAATTTGATGGCCGTTGTAGCGTTGTCTGCACATACATAACCAAAAATCCAGGTCTATCTTTGGCGCGAAAGTTAGTCCATTCTTCGAGGGACATGGTTAAGAAAGTACAACAGTACAACTAACTTTAATTTAACCTACGGAGACGATCTGACTCAGGAAAATAGGGCGATGAGTATGTAATCATATTCAGCTTCAAGTACATATGGCCGGTATGAAGCGCTGCTTACAGAAATAGTACAAAAAGTACCAAAGCATGCTCCAGCATATCTAGGTTCCGAAACGTTGAAACGTACTTTAATGACCTTTGACCCATTATACCGCCGGCGGTGCGGGGCTGGCAGGCGGCCTGGCGCTGATCTGCCAAGCTCCCGGCCCGGGTCGGGCCGGCTTCCACTGGAAGCAGTTCTGTTCACGGCCGCGATTGCCGGATTGGGGATTTATCCCGCTAATTAGCAGACAATGTACCGGCGTGCTTCACCGTGCATAACAATACTGCATAAATTACGGATTTTCTAAAGTGTTGCACTTTATAAATTTAGTAGACCATAATGGTAACAGCAACAGACATCTGCGGTTAAAATTTAGAAGACTAGTTAAACGTTTTACACGATTTTACTGGTTCACATGGAGATCTGATTTATACCGAACGTCGAAAAAATTTGATACGTGGCTCTTCTTTGGCACTTTGCTCACCAAACAAAGAAACAAGTAATATGCGCCTAATCGAGATTTGAATACTAGTAAGATAGCATTTGAAGCGAGCTATTTTTTTTTGCAAAAATTCCAGCAAAGCATAATTTTTTTTATTTACGATTGCAACAGTAAAGCGACACAGACGACTCTAGTAACGCAAAGTAATGCAAATAAACAGTCAGGGACTTGATATAAGATCGGGCCGGGAATCTACACGTGTATCAAGCATTTATGTCCGGACATGTTACCGGTGCGTGATTCGAGTACGGTCTGATGGTATAGTACTGGTATAATGTCCTTGTTCCCAGTATATAAATTGTCCTCTTTTTCTGCCAAAATCATTTTCCACATACGTCAGTGGCGTCAATCTTAGAAAAAAAATAAAAGCCCTATTTTGCTGGGATCGTAATTTCATATACCCTTCAGCGTGACGCTGTCGGTAAAATTTACAGTAACAAAGGACCTTGGTTTGACGTATTTTTACCGAAAAGGTGAGTGTGGCCAAGGACAATATATTATATAATAGGATAAGTAAAGAGCCGGGCTAGGTTGTGCCGCTACCTTTGATCTGAAACTCAGACCGCCCTGTCGGCCCTGTAGGAGTTCATCAATCAATTTTGACAGGCTTGCACCGCCGCGCGCAGTGCCTGTCGCGAGATTTGGGTGAATTTTGACTTCAATTATCGTCATTACTAGTCCATTCCTCAAGACTTCTGATTTGACTCAACATTCGAAACTATTGTTTTGATTTACAGAGTTTTGGTGGATGCAATTAATCATGAGATGTTTGTTCAATACTTATATTTCGCATACGAGTTTTTAAAAAAATGCCTGTTGCCTTTCCTCCCCGTAAGCAAATGTGTATTCCGCTACCGACTTCTCCCAGTCAGTCCGCGTGGCTTCGCTGATCGGGGCACACGTCCTAGTGTGCTCTAAAACTTACGCTTCCAAAGTTTTCTTATCCTACCTTAGGCTTATCCGTAACATTAAATGTCTTGATTTTGACAAACGTCAGTAAACCGGT